CTTTGAGCGTTCTGCTCATCTGATGCTCATTCTTTCTGGATGCCTTCATGATTACATCGTGTGGCGGAGTCGTCGTCTTTTCTGTTTTCTTGGTCGTCTTTTGACGTGATTGGCACTGCAGAGCACTGCTGAGTAACTGAAGTTTCGTTTAGTCGCACGTGAAGCCATGGAATCAGTTTATGGTGCTATGTGCTGTCCTTCTTTTGCTGGGTATGCTTACAGGAGGACTTATCACTTTGACATTTCGCCATCCTGTTGTGGTTGCTGCCCAGATGGAAAAGTCGCAACACGATTATGCCAACAGTGGAAAGATGCCTGTTGAGCCTGGTGCATCTGCTATGCCGAAGTCTGCAAAAGCTAAGGCGAGACGTGAGCCATTGCAGACTCAGACAGATGGGACGTTCTTCAAGAATCGTCATCACTTTGCGATTTTTCTGGATGATGGGGAAGCTGTGTACCACAAGACTTCAGATTGTGGAAAGAGCCATGCCACCCGAGTTGATTTGATCAGGGAGATATTACCATGTGGTGTGTGCCGCGCAGTCGCGAATGCAGATTCCTCAGTTTACCTCTCCAAGTATGGCGACAAGTATCATTCTATGGATTGCAAGCATGTGCAGCAGAAGAATTCCCATATCCATGGTTTGACGCCTTGCTCGGAGTGCTGGTCTGGTCCTCGCTTTCTTGAGTGAGCTTGGGACGTGGGGATGAGATGGGTACTTTGGTTTTTATAGTACTATATCTCTGGCTGCCGGTCTGGTATCATGATAGAGTGGTATTTGACAAGCTGCTGGAGAGATGATCTTCAAACCATCCCGAAAGGGGGTGTGGAAATTTGGTACCTCGTTTACCTCGTTTTACTGCTGCGGGATGATTTGGTCTGTAACTGCAATGCCGTAAGAGTTTGCTTGGTGTTATGGATCCATGAACATCTGTGTCAACTTTGTTTTGGAGCAGCAGTGTGTTTTAGTACGGCTTCACCTGCGGAATGGCCAGACCATCCCTTGTTGAAGCGCTTGAACCTTTACCAGAACGTTTGAGTGAGAGCTTGCTGAGCTTTGAAGCCGTTAGCTTGGCAGTGCTGTGGAACAACACGTTTTGCATGTCATGGTGCACCACGATAGTTTTCTGCAAGAGCTGTTTTGTTTCTGGAAGACAGAGCTGTAGCTTGAACAAGCTGCTTTCAGCTGTTGTCGTGAAGAAGCAAATGCACAAGTGCATTTGCCAGTGAGAACGGAAGCTTCAAGAAGAAGCTGCTTCTGAAAACCGTTTGGCTCAAGGAGCTAAGCGGTGAAGCCAAGTTACGGAGCCAAGTTTGTGAAGACGTTTCGTTTCTTGGTGCGAGTGCCAAAAGTGACAGTCACGTCAGTCTGCTTGCCTCGGAAGGGTTAGTAAGTTTTACATTTTTGCGTCCGCGTGAGGAGTCCGCAGGGTGGGGCAGCTACGAGAACCGGCTACGCCAGCCCCTGTTCGCAGGCTGCCCGCCAACAACTCACCCAAGCTCTGCATTTGGTCAGTGGCCATGATGCCCATGCGCTCATGGCTCAAGGCACGTCGAGCGGTTTGTGGGGCACCAGAAATTTCGAGGTAAACCCGATAAGCCCCAAGTTTCTAGAAAGACGCTGATTGATGCAAGTGGGGAGGGCATCGGAAGCACGGTCACGGTGTTCTGCAAAAACACGGCCACTTGCTTTATAATTCTAGGTGTCGGACTCAAAAAGCTATGTTTGCTGGGTTTGGGAGGCCGGGCGGTGTAGCGAAGCATGGCTTATACTGCTGTGGGGACAGCGTCGACGATTCCGCGACACGTCAAAGCCGGAAACGTGCTTTGCAGCACGACACGTTTCGCGATGTCGGACAAACACGATGTCGTCTTCGGCGTGGGAGTTGGCGGGCGAGTCAGCCGCGGCACCCTCACGTTCTTATGACTGCTCGCGCACGCAAGAGCTCGCCAGCGGGCGCTGTGGTGCGCGGCGTGTCAAAAGAGCCATCATGATCCGTGCATGCCATGGAGAAAACATCAGGTTGCCCAGCAACCTGGCTCGAACTCAAAAGCTCATGCACAGCTTTGCCTCTGCCACCACCATAGGCTCCGAATCAAAATCACCATCATGTCTCCATCACCGATTCTCAGGCCTTGCCTGTCAATGTGGCTGGGAAGGGTTCCCAGCAATTTTGAAAAACGAGCAATCTCAATATCGATCTTTCGAATGATGTCTCCTACGCGCGTCTGGTGCGTGGTTTCAGCTGTACGCATTGCAAAGATCCTACCAAGCAGCTCAAATCGCACCAAAAGGGCTTTTGCACGAGACCTCAAGGAGAACTGCTGTACCAACTGTCTGAGCATTTCATATCCGCGCGTCGTGTTCCACAGCATTTGCAACTGAACGGTGTCAGTACCCTCCAAGAAAAGCTCTCACATTCTGCAGTGTTCAGGCTTTTCAAGCAAACGCACAGACCAAGTTTTCTGATCATTGCTCAAAATGTGCTGCAAGATGATCTCGGCTAGAAGGCTGCCATACGTACGACTGCAAGCTCAGACAAAGTCATTTCCACAGAAGGAGGTGGCTCGCCGCTTGTCTGCTCTGAAAACACGTTTCTACCTTCAGAGAAGGCAAACTCATGCTCTCTGCAACACACAACGGTGCAGAGGCACACTTCGCGCCTGTCTTCCGGGAGGCTTAAATTCATTCAAACTTGTTGAAGCCTTCAAGGAGCTTTAGGGCCCTTCAAGTCCCTTTCGAGAATTCTGGATTCAATTTGAGAAGAGTCTTGAAGGGGGCTTCCAAAGGGAAAGCTTCACAAAGAATTTGAGGTGAGCATTAAGAAAGCAAGAACAAGGAAAAGAAAGAGAAAAAGAAGCAGAAGGAAAAGAAGCAAAGAGCCTGCGCCACAATAATTCCAGCAAGGTTTCCAGTGTAGCCTGCGCCACAGTAAATCCAGCGAGGTGATGAAAGCGATTTTTTCATGTACAGTGTGTTTTCACTTTGAAAGAACGTGTGAAAACGGTGAGGCCATCGACCAAGCAGAAGTGTTTCACAGAAGATGAGTTGCGAAAGCAGCATGCGCTAAAGGTGAGCCAAGAAGGTCTGGTAAGAGACTTTGAGGGCGAAGACGAAAAATCGCCAAGAGTTCCAATGTCACAAGCTATGTGCTATGATGCGAAAAAACACAACGAGCACCACGAACCAAGTACAGGGCAGGAAAAGCCACACGCAAAGTTCGGAAGAACTCTTTTGCCAAGAACTGCGACCTTGCGATGCATGGAAAACTGAGAACCTGCATGCGTTTAGTCTCTGAAAGGAGTGTAGGATGTTGCACTGAGTGCACCGATTTTCGTTGCAAGACTTTTCGACGATACCAACTGCAAGCACTGAAGAAGAAGAAAACCAAGTAAAAAGAATATATATGTTGATATGGCTCTGTGGAGCGTGTGACAATGAAGACGCTCGAAGGGAGCTTGCGAAAAGAGAAAACAGAAAGTGTTTGAAGTTCGAGTCAAGTCAAGAAAGGACTTGAATCGAAGAGGGCGTAACAAACATTTCAATTTTCTGTGTAGTCCCTTCGGGAGCATAATTCACTATGTTTCACTCCGTCACATGTAGGCTCAAGGAGACCGTAGACGGTGATTCAAGGGAACCTTAAAGTTTGGTTTAAAAACTTTCACACCCGCATCCGGCCCAGCATCGCCACCGTCGACGAGATTGCCAGCATCAGGCCCGACACCTCCAGAGTCGCCGCCGCCAGAAAGCCGTGCCACGTTGCCGACAACAGGCACAGAGAGCAAGAGGGCCGGGAAGAGCCGCTCATCCCTGCCTCCGGGTGTCACTTGGGACGACTTGTGATCCAGCGGCCTGTGGCCATGGTAACGTATGGTGCCTCCGGCCTATCTCTTGCGTTTGCAGCTGCCGCCGCTTCCGACTTTGCTGTCGAAAAGCAGAGTTTCGAGAAGCAGGGTTTCAGGGTTCCGAGGGGCAGAGTTCCGAAGGGCAGGGTTCCGAAGGGCAGGGTTCCGTAGAGCAGGGGTCCGTTGTCGCAGGGGACGTTGCGCATTGGATGGTCGCAGGAGATAAGCAGTTTCTGTCCGAGAGCGATTTCACTGATCTTCGAAACGAGCACATCCTTAGACCCCACATCCCCCACCGTGCCGACTGTGAGGAGTGCCAGCGAGCTGGAGGGACGTGTCCCAGCGTCGCTTGCGAGATGAGCAAAGACCTCGGAAGGAGATTCAAGCTGACAAGTTTTGGTTCCGAGGGGTTGCCATGTTGGTGCTTGTTGCGGTTTGTTGGGGACCATTTTGTGGCAGCCTGACAGGGAAAGCATGGTGACCTCGTTTGTGCGTCGGTCGAGATCCGCAGGGCTTGCAGGGTCAGGGGA